GCAGTATTTTAACTTCTTTTGGCTTCAAAGATCTAATTTCTCTCAGACCCTTAATGCAGTACTGCTGCTCATCAGTGGTGCAAAAGAAAATGAGATCTGGCTCATTCAACTTTGATAAGACAGACACAGGCACTGAAAAGTTTCTCTTTTCCAGATGTTTTTGGTAGCACAAAGTACTTGCTCTGCAGCTCCTGTTACCCAGAGCCTGCCCTGCAACAGAAAAGCAGCTTGCACTGGTATGAAACAAAAGTGAACACAGGAGTTACAGCTGATATTAACATCTGATAAATCACCCTGATGACCCGCATCAAGAGCTGCCCGAGATGGATTTCCGAGAATTGACAAATAAAAACAATGTATTTGTGCAGACAGATTTGATACAAAGAAAATTGACCTCACAAGCCTAAGAAACGACCACGAATTCTGTGAGCTCACTGGACCAACCACTGTTTGCAGGATCAAGGCTCCCATCACGTACAAAATCAAAATTGAACCTACAGAGCAATCCCAGCTTTGCTCCTCTAACAGGCTTGGATTTTACGAGACGGATCAGTACAAAAATTACAAAAATTCCCCAAATAAACACATCACTTTTAATGACTGAATTTTTGGTACAGAGAAACTAGTGTGCTGCAATGATGTGGGTTTCTAAGCTATGAGTCACGATGAGCAGATGCCCATTTGCTGCTGCTGCTTTTTTTTTTTTTTTTCCCAGTTACTAGGCAGCAACTTCTTCCACCAAAAAATATTTGAGCAGGTAAACCACCTCTTCCATACCTCTTTTTAAAAGCTCAGAATATTCACAATCCTCCAAAACTCAGCCCATTCAAAGGAGACCCTCTGCCCCCCGCCGCCTCTCCTTGTTGTCACTGCAACTCGATTTTTTTTTGGTAGCAACACAAATCGTACGAACCTTTGAGGATTCGCTGATCTTGTGCGGGCGGCAGATCCTGCTCTGCCGGGTTCCCTCCATGACCGGCCGAGCCGCAGCACTCCTGCAACAAAGGCACAGATGTTACCACCGTTATCAGCCCCTTCAGACCGCTAAAAAAACCCACCCATTTTGTGCTGAATTACGAGACCGGCACGTTCTAATCTGCAGTTTGGGAATGCCTGAATTAAAAAATGACGGGTTTTTCGCCCCTTGATGCTGCTCCCTGGTGTTGTCAGAGGCCGGCGGTGTCAACAAGTTTGGTCCAGCCCAGCCAAGCCCAGCCCAGCGCGGTGCCGAGCGAGGCCGGTCCGTACTCACCGCTGGTGCCCGGGGCCGGCCGGAGCCCCCCGGGCCGCGCTGACCGACCGGCCCCGGCCCCGCTCCGGCGGCTACATCGGCTGGGGGAGGAAAATTCCGGGCGGAAAAAAGAAAAAAAGCGGGGAAAACAAAGCAGGGATAAATTCCAGCAGGCGGAGGCTCCCTCGCCCCGGGCCCGGGGCAGGAAATGCCGGCGGGGCGGGACCGGAGCGGGGCCGGGAGGAGCGGGGGAGGCTCCGGGGCGGGGCGGGGGAGGCGCCGGGGACCCGCGGGAGGGGATGCGCTGCGGGCCGGGGGATGCGCGGAATGGACACTCCGGGGCTGTTCCCTGCCCTGGGCCTGGGGATGCGCGGATCGCACATCCCGGGGCTGTTCCCTGCCTGCAAGGCGAGGCCCAGGTACCAATAACGGGGCGGCCGAGGGTACTCGTGCCAGGGGTATTTGCTGCGGGGAGCACGGCGTGTTTGTACAGCGCTGATGAGCTCTGCAGTGGGTGTGGGGGTGTGCTGTGCTTCTCACACAGGGTGAGAAGCCCCATCGCCATCTCCTCTTGCTTACCTGGGCATGGAACTGCCTGACCTCGAAAACGCACCTCCCCAGCAGCATGTGCTGCTGTGGGGCTTTTCCTCATTGACTACGGCTCAGGAGGCTTAAAAATTAACAAAAACCCCCTTGGTAAGCAGGAGGCTGCCCCCTGTCTCGGGAGTGAAGTAAGAAGCAAAGACACTGTACTCAGACCCACCTGGTCCCGCTTCAGTGCAATGGTCCCCAACACAACACTACAAGTGAAAAAGCCCCTTGCCAACTCAGCATTCCTGGGTATCTTCCAGAGGTTATCTCCAGCAGAAAGCTGTGTGTGTCCAAGCTCCATGTGCTGTCACCAAGGACAGCCCAGCTTGGACACGTGTCCCAGGTGGTGGCGGGGCAGCTGTTGCTGGCAGAAGATGATGTGTATGGAGTGTTAAACCAGGGGAGTGTGCCAGTGCTGCCTGGGTGTTAGCCCCTCCACCTGCCCTGGCCTTATCTCACCTTCACTACCAGACAGCTCTGCCAGTTCCTCAGACACCCCTGAGGAACCAGAGGTGATGATGGGCTTCTACTCATCTAATCAATTATTAAGTCTGAAGATGAGAAGCATTTTCTAAGCTTCTGTAGCACTTGTGACTATGGGGACCCAGGACAAGAACCCTCAACACCTCAACTGTCTGAGTAAAATCCTACTTGCTTGATAACCCTCATGCTTTGATCCAGAAATTGTAAACCCTAACGTTAACTGTGATCCAAAAATTCACATCAGCCTCTTCCTGACAGAGGGTATTATTCTCTCCATTAATTTCTCTGCTCCTGCACAGAAAAGATGTAGATGGAAAAGCAGGACTGGGGATGGACATATGGAAAGATCAGAAAAGAAGCAAAGAGAGGAGATGGCAAAAAGCCAAGGCTGCAAGGCAGGGATGCATTTTAGGGTAAGGATAAGGATAAGACTCTTGGGAGTCCTTGGCTGTGCAGAGCCGCCCTGTTTGCTCAGCTGCCTCCAAGTATTCTGAACTTCATTGTACAGCCTGGACAGCTGAAGGTCAGTCCAGATGCACAAGACTTCATGCCTGCTGGAGATGTTTTTTTTAGGAAGTCCATAAGTCCTCACTTTCTCTGCGGTCTGTGTTTCCTCTCTGAGGGCTCCTGTGAGAGGGACAGATGCTTCTGCCAGGCCAGTGACATCTTCCTGCACAGATGAAAACAACCATGTGCTGTAGGTCTCAAAATTCCCACATGACAAGCAAATCAGAGCTTACCAAAGCCAGAAATGTAGGTGATTTTCCCTCTCCAGTTACTGACTGATGAAACTGAGCACAGTATTTATTTCTCCATGCCTTAAAGAAAAGAAATCCATGAAAAAGTGTCAAAGGCAGGGAAGAGAAGCAAAGAGAAAAGGTTTGGTCCCACAAGGAAGATGTGCATTTTACTAAGGTTTGAGTGTGGCACTGAAAAGTGTAAGGCACAAAGTCCCCAAGAAGAGAATTCAAATGCTCCAGTCATTGGGTCACAGAGACCTGCATGAGGGTGAGGATTTCTCCTCCTCAGGAGAATGACATTGGAGTCACCCACCTCCGCTCCAGGAAATATCAGGGAATGGAACAGAAAACATCCTGAAGGGAACAAGGATAACCAGCAGCTGTTACAGGTATAAACAGCAGCAAGTGCCAATGGATGATAAATGCAGACTACAAAAAACACATTTAGGAGAAGATAATGGTCGGCATAAAGGCTTTTTAAAAAATGAAAGCGTTCCTAAAAGCAGTTCCAAAAGAAGATCAATATAAATTCAGAACTATTAATGTGTGATTATATTATCATCTAGAGCCTGCAGCCTACAGATACCGAGTGTGATTCACCCAGTGTCCTACACTTGTACTGACTTCAGAGATATTTCTCTCTTCCCTATGACCTCATCCACATCAGAGAGGCACTGCAGCAATTCATGTGTTTTGGCCCCAGTGCTCCAGGAGCCTCACGTCATCCAGGGGCTGGAATGGAGCTGGAAGAAGCTGCGTGCAGGACTGTGTCAGTGAAGAGTGTCTGACAGTCAGTGCCTGCTCTGGAGATCTTGTCCCTTGAGATGTCTGACAACAATCAGTAATTGTGTGGTAATGAGGTTTCTCGCTGCTCAGCCTTCACATGGAAAACGCTGATGGGAAATAAACAATGTACATCCCCTGCAAACTTTAAAAGACAAAGTGGGATACTTTTTTATCATGGAACATAGTTTTTATTGAATTTGCAAATCCAGACCGCCAAGTATAGGGTTATAAAGCCACTAACACGCCCAAGGACTGGTTTGTAAAACTCCGGTCCTTGGGCACAACGTCATCTGGTGATGTTTATTTCCAGCTGGGTTCAGCAAAGCAAAGCCCTGTCTCTATTTCTGCGGGACTGAAACGCAGCCTTAAGGCAACGCTTTTGCCTGACAGTCCGCATTTCCCAGGAGCGCAGTGACTCGGGGAGATGAGGGAATGTTCATGGGCAGCGCTGGGAGCCCGGCAGGGGGAGATCGCTGCATTGAAACGGGCTGAACACACTGACACACAGAGACATGGACACACTGACACACACACAAACACGAACACGGACACACACCGACACACACAGACACACAGACCCAGCGCCCGCGCACACCCCTGACCCAGCAGCGGGGTGTCCCCACGCCAAGTCACCCCCCCAGACCCCGCTGGAGGCCGGGGACACCCGCAGGGACGGAGCCGAGGCTGTTCCCCGCTCCCCCGCGGCGGTGCGGGGATGCTCGGGATGCTCGGGACGCTCGGCCCGGCAGTCCCCGCTGTTCCGCGGCCCCGGCTCGGCCCCAATCGCGCAGCCCCGGCCCGGAGCCGCCCCCGCCCACCGTCCCCTGGCCCCCCGCTCACCTGCCCCGCTCTGCGCTACCTCCCGAGCGCCCGGCCCGGCTCCGCCGCCGGCGGCTGCTCCATCCCGGGCGCCGCCTCTGCCTCCTTCCTCCTCCCGTCCGTCAGGGGCTGGGAAAGCATCGGGGGGCTGGAAAACCGGCGGCGGCCGCAAAAGGCATCCCTGCGGCGGGTCGGGCCCCTCCGGCGGCGCCCCCCGTGCCCAGGCTCTATTGCATCACCGCGATCCCCCCGCGCCGGGGCCGGGCCGGGCCGGGCGGGGCTGGGGGGGCAGGGGCAGGACCAGCCGAGCCATTGGCGGCGGCGGCGGCGGAGGCGGGACGGCCGCGGGAGCGGGGCTCAGCTCGGCGGGGCTGGGCTGGGCTCGGCGCGGCTCTGCGCGGTGCGGCTGCAGCGGCGGCGGCGGTCCCCCAGCTCCGCGGCCGCTCCGCGCTCCCCCTCCCTTCCCCTTCGCCTCCATGGCCACCAAAATCGACAAGGAGGCGTGCAGGGAGGCGTACAACCTCGTCAGGGACGATGCCACCGAGGTGAACTGGTAGGTGGTCCCCCCCGGCGTCCCCCCGGACAGGCACCGATGCGCTGCGATTCCTCGTCTTCCCTCCCTGCTCCCCAAAGGGTGACTTTTACAGACCTCTTCCCCTTCTCCTCTCCCCTTCTTCCTAAAGGATGGAGATTTTTTACAGTATATTCTTCCCCATCTCCTCTTTTCCCTTCTTAAAGGCTGACTGTTAAATGTATTATTGGCCTTCCCTTCCCCCATTCCAAAGGGAGACTTTTAAATGTGCTATTCCCCTTCCCTTTTCCCCTGTCCCAAAAGGTGACTTTTAACTGTGTTATTCCCCTTCTCTTTTCCCTTCCCAAAGGGTGACGTTTAAGTACAACGGCTCTACAATCGTCCCTGGAGACCAAGGGGTAGACTATGAGACCTTTAAAAGGAAGTGCACAGGTAAGCTCCCTATCCACTGCTTTGGCCATGACCGCCCTTCGCGCTGCCCCGTGCAAGGCGGGGAAAGGATGGGAGAAAACTTGGGCAAACTGGGATTAGTGCTGCTGCTTCCCCGTGCCTGCCCTGTCCTGTGGGATCGGGTTTCCCCACAGAGTGCAACTCCCTCAAGTCCATAGTCCAGCCGGTCCTTTGTCTCACCCTTAGACTTAAGGTCCTTTGGGCTTTTTTTCCCCCCCCTCTTTGCACCAATGTTTCATTGCTTCTTGGTTATAAACAAGATAAAACACTCGATAAGCAACAGTCTCCGTGTTTGACACTGCAGTTTCAGAGCAAAAACGACTCAGTTTTCGTGGCTATAAAGATGCTGTCATACAGATCATTGGGATTGAAATTCTTCCGAAATTCTTCCGGAATTCATAGCGCTGAAGTAACTGCAGTTAAAAGGCTTGCTCGGATTTTCTGAGACGGTGAAACCTGAGGAGAGGGTGGGTATTGCAAAGATCGGCTCGAACAATACAGCCCTGAAAACAATCGTAGATGTGGCGTTGCACAACCGCAACTGTTGCGGCTCCAGGTTTAAACGTGGCAGTTGATTGTTGAACTGTTGGTCGTAGAACACTAAGGGGAGGAACAAAGCCCGGGGAAAATGAAAGTAGATAAATATTTAATTTCATCTGATCGTGACATTTGATGAGTTTCACGAAAGCAGGTTTTGATTTTTATCTCAAACTTCCTCCTGTCTTGGCTGCTATTTAACAATGACACCGAGTGATGTGAGATATGAAGTGTTTGTAACTAGTACTGAGCTATAGCAAAGCCTTCTTCACTCACCTAGTTACTCTACAATCAAGTATTGCGGTTAACCTGTATTTCTAGGATGATGTGACTGTGCAGTGAAGGAATTGTGTGTTGAGCACTCTCTGCCTTTCTGGGGACACCATAATCAGTCCCACAGCCATGGAAACACCAGTGCCTGTGCATTGGTCCCAGGGCTTGGCTGTGCTTTATTGAGCTGAAGGGGAGAACTTCCCGGACCTTAACTGAGGGCGGGACTCGTCTGATCAGTCAATAAATATTATAGGAAAAAGTACACTTTAGTCCTTGGAAAGCAGCCATGAATCAAGAGAGTTTAGACTGCTCTGCTATGACCTTGGCAGTGGGGTCTTCCTGGGATTAATACAGCCACTCCATTCCAGCTGTTCTGGAGAGATTTGCACGGAAAACTCTCAAAACTGAGATAAATCCTGTTGTAGTTGATGTCAGAGGAGCTGATACCCTGCAATGCAGGAAATCCTTCCCACTCAACCCTTCTTCATGGGCAGCAGAAGGGAAAAAGCAATTACCTGGCACATGGGGAAGCCCAGGGCTCAGCACTTTGGAAGTTCATGCCAATGATTAGTATTTTTCTTGGGAAGTCAATGACTTCAGTATCTGAGCCCCATGTTCTCTGTCCCCTCTCGGGGCCAACATAACTGAGCATCTCCAGCATCTCCAGACACCTGAGGCTTGCAGAGGAGCCTTCCCCACGTGTTCTTTCTTCCTGCCTTTACAAAGTCCATGTCTTTCCTTTGTCTGAGTTGATTTTTAACATTTTGTCTGGATGGCACCCTCTCAAGAACTTCCTCTCCTCCCTTCTCTAGCCAAGAGAATCCGTTCAGTGAGTGGCTGAGCAGGCAGAGGGGCTTTGGCAGAGCACAGGCACCACTTGGGCTGGGGGGATGACAACTAATGGAGGCACATGTTGCACTTGGGAGTTTGGCCAGTTTTGTGTTCTTGCCATGCCTGGCATGTGCCAAACCTGTATTTATAAACAGGGCATTCAAACAGACAGAGCTTAAGGAAATCTTGTTTTACACCAGCAAAGTGCCAAACTGGCCCCAACACCGAGGCCTTTTTACAGAAAAATAAAGGAAGTTCTGTATATTTTATAAATAAGCATGGTAAGGGAAGAGGCACTGTGGGGTAGGCTGTGGCCTATTGTTTGCCTTCAATGGGGAGCTGTTCCATTTCTCCCTTTCCCTATTCCTTCCTTCCCTCTCCCTTGGCATGCAGCTGGAGGGCTGTTCCTTGGCAGACCAGGGCCAAGGGGTTGTCCTCAGACCTAACTCTGGAGCTCAGCTGTTGGAGGCTTAAGGAGTGAGGCAAATTCAGGTACCCGGTCCTTGCCTGAGAGCTGGAAAGGCTCTTCCTCCACCCACAAATTATGGTGCAGCAGTTGGGGAAGGAGGAGATGGAAGTTTTGGAGCCTCCATCTGTGCAGCAAACCTTCACCTGGCCTGCTAGACAGAGTCAGAAATCAAGCCTTGTGCCAGCAGTGAAGTCGCAGCTTTCCTTCCTTTCTGGAAGAAAGGGGCCAAAGGTTGCCATGAAGTAGAGCTGGTTGGAATATTTCTACTGAAACAAAGTCAGTAGAGAAGAGTAGGAATGGATGGGAAGAGCTGCTAAATATTATTCCTTCCTATTGCTACGTCTCTTCCCTCCTGGTCTCTTACATTTTGCTGGAGGGGAGAAAAGCGGCTATCAAAGCAAACAGCTTCAGAAAACGTGATTAAAGGATCAAAACAACTGTTATCAGAATAAACTTTCCTGTTTTATGAAAAACACTGCCCTGAAAGCCACAATGTGCTGCAGCTGCCTGTGGTAGAAGCTGAGCATAATTTGGTGGTTGAAGGTGGGAGCTGGAGCTGGGATTGAAAACCTCAGTGTGCAAAGAGTCACCGTCAGAGCTCGCTCTGTTCTACTTTCTGCACCAGCTACTTCGGTGTCGTTCTGAGCTGCAAACATCTGAGTTCCCTGCTTTCTTTAATAACCATTCCCATTAAAAGCACCTTCGTACACACTGCTGCCCTCCAGGGCACTGAATGATGGTGCAGGCGGGGTCAGTGTGTGCTAATTCACGTGGCTCTGAGACCAAGAAGGGCTTTTGTACCACTCTGGTAAACATTTGCCTGTGGTGGATGTCCTGCCTTGTGCAGTGGCAGGGGTGAGGGAGGGCTGGAGAGGGGCTGTTGGTAGCAGGCTTGTATTTTTGCTTTTCCTCTCCCCCATCCATAACCCTTTTCACGCAGACCATGCCCAGCCCGTTGCTGACTCTGCAAACCTCCTCAGGGAACAAGAGCGTTGAGGACAAAGGGAAAAGCAAGAGACGGAAACTGCTTCTTTTAAAGGAAGTAGCAGTTCAAAGAGGCCGTGTTAGGGACCAGCCCTGCACACCTCCAGCCCTGCACACCTCCAGCCCTGCACACCTCCAGCCATGCTCTGTGGCTGCTGTTGGAGGAACACACAGAGAGGTGCTGAGCTCCTGGGGTGGTGAGGCCCATGCCCTGACCCAGGAACTGCTGCTGCACCCGGCGTGCCTGCTGCGGGTTTCATTGTTCCCCTGCTCTACTCTCAGATAGGTGTTGCACATCAGACCTACGCGTCACATATCCTAGGGTGGAGGCTTTTTCTTTCTAAACTCTTTACTGAGCTTTGTGTTCTAGCAGAGAAGTTTAACAAACTGCATGGTCAAATGACCACCCTTTTCCCATCCTCCTCTTTGGGGACAGTAGTAGAGCCCCTCTTAAAGGAAGGAAAACTGGAAAGAAAATCTTCTTCAGTGCCCTTTTGTTCAGGGTCCCAGGGCGATGCTGAGCTCTGGACTCAGTAGCTGTCGTGCTGTTGCTGTCAAGGCCTGTGTCAGTCACGACACAACTCAAACACTGGCTGGGGGAAGTAGACTCTGCTTTAGTGTCAGGCAGTGTCTCCTCTGTCCTCCAAAGACCACCCCCAGATGTGTGCACACCTCTCCTCCAGTCTAGCCCAAAGTGAAGTCCAGGAGGTTGGTTTAACCCCCTGGCACATCTTGCTATGAGTAGGAGGTGGCTGCTGGTGGCTCTTCGTCTTGCAGTCCTGACTAATGACCGACCTATGTGACTGTGTCTGTCTGATCCAGAGTCTGGAGATAAAAGTTGAGGACATTCATTGTGTCAGCGTTATTAAAATCAGTGCAGACACCTCCTGTGTCTTGTGGCTAAGGACTGTTTCAGTTGGGCTTAACAGCACAGATTACCTCTGCATTAAACAAAGACTTAATTCAAGGCTTCTGAGCCATTTTACTTCCCAGTTACAGCTCTTGCCTCTGCAGATGGCGTGGGTCCAGACACAGCATTAATTTGGTGGTTAGTGGTACGTGCCATCAGTACACTCTGAAAAAAAAAAACCAGAGCTGAGCTGGTGGATTTGAAGCCAGAAACACAGATAAGAGTTGAAGGTTACTGTAGGGAAGGATGTGAAGGTTTAGTGTTGTTGTTTTCAATTTCAAAGTCTTATAACCCGGCTGGTGATGCTGTTGCTGAGGAGAGTAGAATGACTTAAGAACTGAAATGACATCCTGTGAAACTTGTGAGTGTGTCAGTAGTACCTGAGTGCCCTGGACAGTTGCTTCAGTGCCTCTATTAGGAAGCAGCAGAGCTTCGTCTCTGCCTGTGGTTTACTTTCATTTTTTTTTTGAGTGTGTGTTCTGCCATTAAGCAACAGAGAGGTTGGAAGACTTTACTTCCCCCCCCACCCCCCATCCCATGCCATATGTGAACAGCTGTTTTCAATGCATCCCTGACAAAAGGAATAATGAGCCTTTTATTTGGAAAGCCCCAGTCCAGATAAATAATTGCAATGACAGCATGAAATGGGATAGTTATTCATGTGTCTGAAAAGATCAGGCCAAAACCTCACTGTGCATTCAGCAGGAGGAAGAACTGAAAATCTTTGGTCTGAAATAAATACCCTGTAAAATCATTCGGGGTTGACATAAAATATTAGGAAATAGAAATAGAATCAGCTCCTAATACAAGTTCTTTTAGGCTTAGATCAACTGTCCCATAAAGCTTGGCCTGCATGTAAAAATTTAGGAGCTAAGAGCTGGGAGATCACCAAGGTTCTGTTGGCACCTGTGGTTGTAGGAAAGATTTGTAAAAACACACGAGGACATATAATGAGATAGGTGCTTATCTGCATTTGGCTGCATCTTAAGTTGCTAAAATGGGCCTTGTAAATCAGTGTCCTACTGCTTTTGGTTTTCCTCTTTAATGTTCATCTCTCCTGCTTTCCCTTAATGGCTATTTATGGGAATTTCATGCTGTGGCTGCAGCCCTCCCCTGCCCCTGTGCCCTCCCTGCCCTTGGCAGGGCCACAGTGATCTCCTGGCTGCCACAGCTGACACTGTCCCTTGCTCATGGACAGCAGGTGGTTTTAGGGAATATTCTCATTGGTTTCTGTGGGAGTAACTCCTCAGGTCGAGTTCTGCACTGAGACAGTAACTCTCTGCATTCAGTTTGCTGATTCTTCATTAAAATGGCATCGCTGTGGGTCTGCCTTTGCCATCCTGCTGGGATGGGAGCAGGTGAAGAAGAGGGTGGCCAACAAACACAACCATTCCTTCCTTCAGGGAAGGAGAACAAAGATGAGCTGGATCTCCTGTTTGCTCCCACTCTGCCCTCCCAGGTCAGGACAGAGAGACAACAGGGCCACTGTCACTGGGGTAGCAGCAACTCTTTGTGATAAAATGCTGCTGGTGGCTTCACTGAGCCAGAGAACACCAGACAAGTCAGTGTGGGGTCATCCTCCCCTGCATTTGTGTCCCTGTACTCACGTCAGCCACCCTGAGTTCCGTGGAGAAGGTTTGGAGCCACAGGCACAGCAAGCCCTGTGATTGTGGTCCTGAGGTCAAACACGTCAGATGAGTTAATGAACATGTCATCCTGGAGCAAGGCAGCACTGCAGGAGATATATGGGCTTCAGCACAGGGTTTAAGAGGGAAAAAAACCAGTGTAGTAAGAGGTAGGGAAGTTTTCTGTCTGCACTTGTAGCCACGGGGCTACAGGGGGGACTGAAGAGGTGGAAAATTGACTAAGGAATCTAAAATGAATCCAGTTGAAACAAACAAAATAAACCCTCATGAATCCTCATGCCATCAGTCATTCATTGTTGGACAGAACACAGAAGCAGATCATTCCATCACCTGCCTTGCTGTATTTGACCTTGATCCAGCAGGCAGGTGAAGCTGGGAGCAGTGGTTTATCCTGGCACATCTCAGACCATTCAGAGCCCTAAGATAAGAACCACAAAGATTTGACAGTGTATTTCTTTCCTGCAGCTATTATCTTTTACTGATGAGTCAGTGCATTTTAATCTAATGGGGAATTTTTCAGTACAGCGGAACCAAAGGGCTTGAGTGGATGGAAAAAAAAGAACACCATCAAGGAAACCTCTGCAGCTTGGCATCAGGCTTTGTTGACAGCCAAGGGCAGCTTAATCAGAATATCTGGAAAATCCTGCCTACTGATAAATAAGGAGTTTGGAGATTAATATCAAGTGATGCTCATTAAGACATTCATTTTGCTCCTCACTGTTTGTAGTGCCCTGTTGCTGTCCAGCCATAGTGAAGGGAGTAGTGGTATTAATGAAAATAACACAGTTCATTTCTGCTCTTTGTAACTTGTGAGATTTTCTCAAATAAATCTGCTATTTCTGTTCTACCCAGATCTGTTATTTGCTTCTCTCTGCACTGAAATTCATGGCTCAGTGACTAGGAAGAGGGTTTCACAGCTCTAGGCAGGATTTCCTCTTTCAGAGGAAATCTACACTCTTCCTCTATAATTTGTTATGCTCTCCCTCACAGCCAACAAATTCCTAAAACCACTGTAAGTGGTTTTGTGTGAGAAAGGGGGTGGTGATGTTTGTGCCTTGAGATTTCTCAGGGAATTGGCCCTGATGGCATTGATGGCTTCCAGCGTGGTGAGGTGATCTGGCAGGGTGGAACTGATTAACTGTGAAAGAGGAAATCTGGGGAGTATGAAAGAACTTGCATTTTGATCCCCTTATCACTCTGAACACGCTTCAGACTAATTGTGAAACTCAACCACTTCTGCTCAGGGATTTCAACCTGCAGTTGGAGAGGCTTATACCCAGGCTGAGCTACTGCTAAAAACCTCTACATCCGTCCCTGATGCCCTTTTAGGAACAGAGACATGTTAATTGCTGAGGGCTCCAATTCACATTCCCTCTCAGCTTCATCTGCAGCTGCTGAAAGGCTCCTCAGCTGCCACAATTCACACACTGGCACATCAAGTTAAAGCATCACATTTTGGTGGTTTGTACCAAATACACTGGACTGAAAGTTGTGGCAGCTGTGGATGCTGTTCTGGTGGGGATACAACCCCCATGGGGACACAGGAGGAGGCAGCACCCAGCTGGGGTGGAACCCTTTGAGCCCCCACAAGTGAATCAGGTCTGAGTAAATTCACCACGATGGTGACTCAGAGCCCCACGTCCAACCCCAGGTGCTCACTAAACTTACTGGGACTGAACATGGTGAAGTAAGAGTTGCTCATACTCACTGAGGAGTAGGTTTTCTAATGGACAAAAGCTGGAATTGCTGGGCTTGGCTCTCTGTGGTGTCATGGATCGAGCTGCTTTCAGGCAGGATGGGAAAGCACTGAAACTCTTCTGAAATCCTGCTGCTTCCACTGAGCTGTGGGCTCATGTCCAACTGAAGTTATGCTGATAAAGTCACAAAATCATAGGATCACAGAACTGTTCAGGTTGGAAGGGGCCTTAAAACTCATCCAGTTCCAACCCCCCTGCCATGGGTAGAAAACATTCCACTATCCCAGGTTGTTCCAATCCTCGTCTAGCCTGGCCTTGAATACTTCCAGGGATGGGGCATCCCTGGAACTTCCTTTCTGTGCTGTTAGGAAAAAGCACTGTTTTTTCACATTCACTGTTTTTCCATTATCTTTGTTATAAAGATATAGTCCAGTCTTCAGGCTCTGTCACAGCCTTTGGTGGGAGGGGCAGGGATGAAAACCCCACAGACTCAAGGTGGAAAGCGAGGGGTCCATGGATAGGGCTGTGACACCATCACAGTGTAGTAGGGGCCAGGACTTGATGACATTAAAGTGCCTTCCAGCACTGTGTTCCCACAGGAGCCACAGAACAATTCTGAGCAGAGTGTGGCCTCCTTTACTGTCAGACCTGGAAAGCAAGGCTTTCTCATGGAGCTGTTAATTGTAACGTTAGGGGATTTACTGTCTCACTTCACCTTGGGTATTTCCTGGCTGTCGGTTCATTTATGGTTCTAATCAATCTTGGGAAGAGGATTTACTGGCAGAAACAGGAGTCTCTACGTGCCTTTCTTGTACTCACCAAAAACAGGGTAACTGAGACAGAAGTTTGTTTGCCTGCACTGTGGATACACGTCTCTTTCTCTCCTTCCAAAGATCTATCTGGATTTTTCCTTTGAGTAAGATCTTTCTTTGCCTTTGTTTCAATTTTGAAATCTTCAGAGGAGTTTGTTTTAAACACTGTACTGGCTCACACAGATCCCTACATCCATTTTCCAGTTTTCCTAATATTCCTCTGTCAGTGGCAAAAAAAAAAGGTACAGAGCGAACAAAATAGAGAGATAATAAGTGGATTTTTTCAGATTTATAAAAGTGTTCTCTTTTATCAAGGAGAATTTCTCTTTACTCAGACTTTGGCAAATCAAAGTGTTAAAGAAGCTCTGAAATATGTCAGCTTGCAGAGAATATCCCACTTTTTTTTTTTTATGTTGATTTCTAGCAGCTTATTTTCTGGGGATGAGCAATTATGAGCTGCTTCTCCCCTGTTCCCAGAGCTCCTGGGGCTGTCCTGAGCATTCATGGAGTACACTGTAATGGATCAAGGATGGGATGTTGGCAGTCATTGCTACACCTGGAGCCTGCATTTTCACCTGGCAAATAGTCATTATTTCACCTGGCAAATAGTCAGCAATTCATTATAAAACACTTTGAACTGGTCACAACAAGTGCAACCAGGATTAACATGATTCTTCTCAAACAGCACACGTTTGTTCTTCTGTTCTGAGTCATCTCATTTAAAAGGCCTTGAGTGACCTCTAACAGATGAAGAAGCCACGATTAGGTATATTCCATGATTGCACAACTGCCCATCTGCTCAGCTTTCTGCCCAATCCTGGTGGAAGGCTCCAGATCACCACATGGCACCGAGGCTGGAGATGTGAAGGGATGGTATCACACACTTCTGAAGTGCCCAGCTGCCCCTGTTGATGGGTCACCCTGCAACGGAGGAGGGAACTCCTGGAGATGAGAGTTGACAAGGTTTTGACACAAAGGCCAGGCTAAATAACTCCATGATACAGCATAAACCATCTGTGAAACAAAGACAAGGACAGTTCTAAAATCCAATACTTTTCTCTCCAGGGCTTTGGGAGAAGTAGAAAAACAACCTGGAAAAGTAATTGCAGAATTTTTCTTTTGCTCCTTCTTCTTCTTCCCTCCTTCTTTTAAACTGATACTAGAAGTGAGCCAGAAATGTTTGCTGAATGGAAGGAGGGGAAAGAATCAGATTTGCACAATAGGCAGTTTCTGGGTAATGTTATAAAATGTGATCCTAATCCTGCAATCTTGTAAGAAACAGACACTGGGAAATGACTTTCTTCCCTTCTTGACCAGTGACCTGCGTATGAATGATCTGTCTGAATGTGGAACTGGGGTTAGCTCTGTGTTCTTGACCTGTCTGCTGACTGTATTTTAGCCATTTCCAGACTCACTAGCAGCAAAATAATCTGATGTGAGGTGTCCAGCACAGCCAATTTCCTCCCAGTAACTCAGAGCAGCCCAGGAAAAGGCAGGCTTAATTCAGGCAAAGCACACCTTGGAAGCAAAGGCCCTATCAGCAGAGCCCCCTGTTAACCCCAAATGCTGGCACTGTAACACGGGATCAGTGCCTTGCCTTGGTCTTTGAGAGCAACAGTCTCACCCCAGGAAGTGGCAAGGCAGGGGTGTTTTTGGGTTTAACCATTTTATCCCTTTTTTCCCTGCAGATGATGTCCGATTGTTTGGCTTTGTCCGATTCACCACCGGCGATGCCATGAGCAAGCGAGTCAAGTTTGCCCTCATCACCTGGATTGGAGAGGATGTCAGTGGCCTGCAGAGAGCCAAAACTGGGACTGACAAGACTCTGGTCAAAGAAGTAGTACAGGTAACTTCATCCTTCTGCTTCCAGCCGCCCGCTCTCTTGTTGCTGTCGGCTGTACAAACACCAGCAGGAGGGGAGAGAGGAGGAAGGACTGGATCATCCTTCAACTTAGTAGTTAATCCTTTAAAAAGAAGACAGTTTTCTATTGCCTGTCTTCCTACTAGGAAGGCTTAACATCTGCCCTTTGAGCGCTCAGGCATAAAGAAGCACCTTTGAGCTTAAGGCAGCCTTAACTATTCCACGAGGAGGGAATATGTGCACTCCCCTCCTTGTCACCAGTAAGATGTTTCACATCTCCTTCCTTGATATGGAAATGATATAATATTGAATGACAGAGAGCAATATTAAGTTAAGAAGGTAAAATTAAACAGGAAAACCCACACCCTTGTTTAAACTTCTCTGGAGGCCTTTTGTCTCTGCACAGTGAATTCATGGACCTAATCAACCAAAGTCTGAAGTCCCTATCAGTGCCAATTAACTAATGGCTCTTTAATAGCTAACTAGGTTTGAATAGTCTTCTGTTTGGCTTTGGGTGTAGCAGGGAAAAGAGAAATGTGCTCAATCCAAGTGAGTGAGAACAAGCAACAGCCAGGGGAGAAGTGACTTGTGGAAAAGGCTGCACAGAACCCTTGCTGAAACACTGACTGTAATGGAGGAGATGCTCATGTTTAACATGTTTTCTCTGAAGAAGTATTTAAAGCAAGATTAGCTCTTTAAACTAAACACAGAGCCAGTTCGCCCGTGCCTGAGAAATGATCTTGCTTATGCACTTGGAGAATGGGCTGATGATTAAATTAATCTCCCCCGATAACTGAGCTCTTGCCTATGTAAAGAAATCTCCCAATCGAACACTGAAGGGTGAGAATGAAGTCTCCCTCAAATTTTGGTGGTTTATGTGATCCAGAAGATTATATTTAGATAAGAAGCATGAAGAATGTAATACACTCCTGTCCTTCCAGGAGATAAGCACTGGTGCTAAATGTTTCAGAATGACAATGACGGAGAGGGGTCCAATCTGAAAAGAAACTTCCAGAATGACACCTGAGAGATAGGAAGGCAAGTCTCTGTTCATGGGAAGCAGCTGAAACAGTGTAATTGTAGCTGAAGATGAAATTATAGAGTACTAATGAATGACTCTTATATGAGTCACTAAGCCCAAGATTTTTTAAAAAATCTGTTTAGACAATGTATTCCTGTTGAGTTGAATTGCATTCCTGAGCTCTGTGCTAAGATCTGTCCCTCAGGTCTGTTACATATAATTTGCAATTTCATTTGTTTCATCTTTGATTAGTAGTCTGTACGAGTTAATAATCTGGTGGAACATTACCCACTCTTGGCTGTTCCTTAAAAGCTTTCATATTCCAATTAGTCTGTACTAAAAAATACGAAAACAATACAGCTGGTGCTTAATACACTTCTACTGAGCAACCTTGTCCATAACCCACTGCAAAGCTCTGCTGAATGTCATGGCAATGGTGATCTCCTGGCCAGAAGAAATTATCTTGACAACTGTTTTGAACAGTTCTACATGTGCAACTGAATCCCTCTGAGTAGAGGGGGATAAAAGCAGAACTGTTTTCTTCTTTTTATGCATGTGACCTTGCAGATTGCCAAAATAAAAAAAAAAAGGACAAAAAAGTCCAACTGAAATTTAGTGGAGGGAATTTCTCCCAGAGCTATTTCACTCTTACTCATTCTCTTGACCTTCAGGTACATTCTCAGTCTTCTGATTTTTACAGGGGTTATTTGAGATGTGAGTTATTCATAGAAAAATGCAGTTGTTTTTTTGCTGTAATGATAAAGTACAAATCTGAGTCAGTGCTGGTTCATCATTTGGAATAAGTAGTGCCCTAAAGTGGGAATCTTTTCTTAACAAACCCTGAGGGGAGTGTGGGCTGTTGCTGCAGCCTGACTGCCTGCAGGACCCCCAGGGGCACTCACCCTGTGTGCCAGGCCCTCCTTCCAAAGGAGGGTGGCACAAGGAAGCTTTTTGTACAGCCTTGGTTTTGTGATCCACAGAAGGGATAGGCTGGGACTCCAGAACAACAGCTCTTCATTCTGGGAAGCCCTCAGTGAAACCTGAAGGGCTCTCACTGTCTTGTGATATTTGCCAAAGCAACTGTGGGTCTTTACTTAGGATGAGCTATGGCTGAGCTTTTCTCAGAGCTGAGCAAACACCAATAAACGTTGCTCTTTACCAAGACACTCAAAGTGAAAGACAGCCAGTGCAAGCACCGCCTGCGAGCACAACCCACGGCAGCCCACCACGGTGCCTCTGCAGGATAAAGAGTGTTCACACATGGGGATTATTAACAGCCTCCCAGAAGCACCTGCCACACGGAAAACACTAGGGATATTAAGTGGTGAAGAGTAGATTATGGGCTTCTGAACAAAAGGATGAACTATCACAAAGCAGGGAGAGGAGCTGGGCTGCCCTCGCCTTTGTGTTCCTCCCTTGGAAGGGGGAGCAGCTGCTGGAAAATCTATAGGGATGTGGCTTAGGAAGCAGTGCTGATAGCAAGTGCAGGAGGTTGCCAGAAAATCTCTCAGGAAGAAAGGACAATTGATTTTTAGCTGTAATAACTGCAAAATTACAGGGATGTATCTCATCTGGTGCAAATAGCCCTAGTTCTGATCTGTACTAGTTGAGAATCAGCTCTTCTGGTTTATTTGGACCTATCCTTATTCCCTCTTCAATGTTATTGGAAAATGGGGTTTGTGTTTATTGTATTTCTTTTGGATTGTAGAAAATGCATTTAAGGAACATTCAAAAGTTTGTTTGTTTGTTTGTTTGTTTGTTTTTTTAACACAGCCATTTATTTTCCAGTCCTTTCTTCTTTAACTCAGCTGGAAATCTTGGATCAAGCCTGCAACCTAGTCCAAGTAGTTCAGCTGAGAGCAGGTTAGAAGAAAGGCCAGGATGGGGAACAAGTATTTATCTGTATCTTCTTAAGAGTCTAGCTAAGAATTAGTGTGTGGTGACTCTGCTGCTTAAATGGAGACATGGAGTAGGGTGCTGCAGTATTCCATCTTTTTTCCACTGAGCTTCTGTCCAGGCCAAGGACAAACCCAGGGGTGGGGGAAGTTGCACAAAACATCCTGTGCTTTTCGGGCTGTTGCTTAAGATGTTTGGGAGTTAATTCCTGAGGTACAGGCTAAACCTACATCTAGAACGATCTAAACAGCTGAGAGCCTCATGCAACAACAAGTCAGGATGACTTCAACTCCAAGGCTGCATCTGTTTGTCGTCATCAACAACAGTGTGTCTCACCTTGTGCAGGTGTGCACGGAGAGCCACAGCATTTGTGTCCTCTGCACAGCTGCAGTTTGGTCACTGTGACACCAAGGTTGGACCAGCTGCCAGGAGAGACCCCCTCAGTGGAAAGGCTTTGGGCATATTTTCTACTTGGCTAAAAAGATCACCCAAAGCTGGTCTTGAACTCCTGTTTTATGTCCCTGACAGTAAGAATGGTTCTGTCTTTTCGTGCACAAGCTGTGGCTCATTCAACCTTAGCACAAATCCATCCAGGAGACTCTCTGTGCTCTGAGGGCTGTTGTTTTGACCTCTTTTATTCCATGTGGAACAGGTCAGTCAGCTTAAACCCAAAAATCAAGGCTATTGTGAGCTGTTTGACGTGGCTGGGAATGGCAGCCAGCACGAGGTTCAGCTCAGCCATAAAAATTCCTGCAAGGTGAAACCTGACAGTGGTGGGGTTTAAATACAGGAGCATCAAACCTTCCAGTGAAGGCCTCTGCTTATTTTGAGGAGAAGCAGAGGGATGATGTTCTTTGAGCAAGGACAAGCCCAGGCACAGGGATTGTGGGGCTGGGAGTGGCACCCAGAGCTGAAGTGGCACGGTTTGGATGTAAACGTCTGAGAACTGAAAACAGGACTTGGTTTCCTCTGAGTGAACTTCCTCTCTGTGAACTTGTTGCCCTTCACGACTGCATTTCCTACCAGGACATTTTAACCCTTCCTTAGGCAACGTTGAGGTCTTTCTCCTGACAGGACTGAATTCCTGTCCTGAAGGGCTGTCTCAGCAAAGGGACTGCCCAACCTCTGCCAGTTTGTCTCATTTTCCATGGATTTTGACTCTTCTCTGTTTTCATCAGCATTCCTTCCCCCACAAAGTCATATGCTCTGTTATTTGCCTAAATGATATTCAGGGTAAAACAGCTCTGTTTCTGTGAGCAAATATTCGTGGCATTTTATTCATTATTATTTTTGGTGAGGAATTTGCCTGGTTTTCATGATGTCAACAAAGTCTACTGAGTTCCTGGTTTGGAGCTCATGGCCAGATCTTTTTTTGCTCACCTTTCCCTTGTCCTCTGGATTCCTCACTGCTGGTACCTCAAGAGGGTGAACCCACTTATGGGGTCACTGTCCCTGGTCTTGGGGCAGATACAACACAGAGAACTCCACATGTGTGCTTTAGGTTTCTCATGTCAGTACAGAGGCCTAACAAAAGGTGGTTTCATAGGTTTGTTAGAGGCAGTCAGGAAATCAAACTCACAGGGTAACAGCTACATCACGGTGGCTTTGAGAGTCTTTCTCACGAGGGTGAGTGAGATCCTGCTGAGAAGGCAAACCAAATTCCCCTTTTTGATTGTTTTTCCTAGTCTGATTTACTGTAATGACCATACCAAATGGATATGGATTTGCACAGAACTACCCATTTGAGTCTAGGGAAGGTTACTTTTAAAGTAACTTTTTCAGGCCAGAATCAGCAGCTTCTCATCACCCTACATCTGACACACAGCCCTGTGACTTTTCCAGTGGGATGCAGCACAGACAGGGAGAATTTGCAGATCAGCTGAAATGTAGTTCCCATTGCTGAGAGATGTGTTTGCCAGAAGTTTGGGCTGGCTTCTCCCAGTGGCTGGAACTGGTCCATGTGAAAATTGGCAGGGAGTAAATGTGAAGAGAGGGTTTTTAGTGGTAGCTTGGAGTCTGAGAGATGAGTGCAGGACCAGCTCTGGTGCAGCCAGAGCAGTGTGGGGCAGTGGTTCTGTGCTGCTGCAGGTGCTTGGCACTTCACAACACTTCTTGTACTCAGAGAAGCCCTGCCAGGACACACCTCTGCTGCAGCCACAGCACATGCCCTTTCTTCCCCAGGACCCCAGGTCTGGGATCACACCAGACTGGGAAAGAAACATGGGACATGCACTGGAAATGCAATGACCAGTGGATGGGACTTGTGATATTAAGCATAGTAGAACTGAGGGTTTTGAACATCAAGCTACAAGCCCTAATATAAATAAAAATGGCAAGAAGCTGCTCTGGCACTACCTGGCACCATCCCCAGCTGCTGAGAACCCAAGTGTCTGTAGATGATAGAAGGATTTTCCTTTTGGCTTCAGGCCTACCCATGCTGGGATTTATAAGAGCCTCTGCAGACCTATTTTGGTACAATATCTGCACCACACAGATTTTCCCTTGGGCACTTTAGGGAAATTTTATGGCCCATATGCTAAACATTCAGAGCTTGGAAGAGGAATGAAATCTACTCCACCTTTTTTCCCCCCCTTAGATTTGGCTGGAAGGGAAGGACTGAGCTTGCTGCACAAATTTCATGCTTCCCAGGGAGAGATTCAGGCTCACTTTTTGCAACCCAGCCTTGCATGGTTGGAGCCCTTTCAGCCTGTAGTGTCTTGTGGAGGTTGGCACAGGGGATTGGATTGCAAAATTGTGACCCTCTGCTACTCAGGCACAAAATGAAGCACATGCCCAGGTGTATTGAAGAACCATGAGTAAACCTTCCTCTGTTCAATGATTTGAGAGGCAAAGCAGAGAGACTGTGGTCACTGCTGTGTTGTGAGAGTGATAAAGATAAATGGCATCATTGTTTTTGTTATCTGTAGGCTGCTGGTGACTGGGGTGAACACAAAGGCAAGAATTCACTGCCAGAGCTTGCCGTGGTTGTAAAAGGCTTGGGGATGGGGGGAGGAGAAGAGAAAAGGAAGTGGAGGATGTTAAATGAAGACACATGTCAGCAAATCAAGGGCCCAAGCATCAGAGTGATGCATTGTGCCTTAGGCAGCTGTAACCTCTGTGGTTCTCCTGAAAGGCATTAGATACTGGTATGATGAGAAAAGAGGGAACAGGGACTTTCCACAGCCCAGTCTCTTAAGGGTGGAAAGAATATCTGGTGGCAGGGCAGCAATGTGGCTGAAGAGGGATCCTGTTGGCATTGCTGTGAGCCACTTGGAGCTGGGATTTCTCCCTGTGCCTTGCAGGAGCTGGTGTGCTGTGATCAGTTATTTGTAATTGCAGATGACAGTCAAATGCCAAATACAGCCCATTGCCTGGCCCAGCCGATATCAGACCCAATTAAATCAGTTGGGAGTAGCTTTACATTCTGGCAGCCTCAGTGGGGACACAAAAGAGTGAACTCTGGATAAAATGGCCCTTGGATGAAAAGTGCTGCTGTTGGTCACGGGTGCCCAATCTCTGGACCTGAGAGCTGCAGTTCCTCCTGTCCCCCTGCCCTGATGGCACAGGAGGTAGGCCCAGCTGCCTCTGAAGTATTCATGTGCCCCCCTTCACCTCAGGATTTGCACCCTGAGCAGAAGCTCAACCCCAGAGAGCTCAGACAGTACATTTAGAGTGATGAGGGAGGCTGTGGCTGGAGAAGGGTCAAGCAGGATATTGAAATCAGAAGTTCCAGGCAGCAAACCCACCAGAGCATCTTCTCCCTTTGGGGCCAGGCCTGGGGAGACACCGTGGTGGGTAAGAGCTGGTGCAAAGAACCAAGGAGGACCCTAACAGAATGGAACAAAGCTAAGAGTTATTAATAGCAGTGACCCAGATTGCACTCTGAGGGTACAAATCTGGCACAAGAGGTGGCCCAGTCAGCTAAGAGGATATTTAAGAGTGGCTAGGAGCAGAACCCATCTGGCCACTGCTAGGGGGAAATTGTTCAATCCTTGCAAGGTGTCTTGGTGGTATTGATGTGAAATCGTGGCTCATACCCACAGATCCTCTCCTAGCAATCATCTGGATAAGTGTTTAGTTGAGAGGACATCTGAGTAATTGTAATTACTTTGTGGCACACATAATTTAGTTTTCCTCTGTTCAGGCAAGAGTGCACTCGCAGTTTGAACTTCACAATCAGCTGCATTCTGCAGAGTGGGCACTGAAGGAAACTCTCCCCTCTTTTATAAAATACACACAGTTTTCATGCAATCCCTCTTGGAAATGATTTTATGGGCCTGCCTCAGTTCCCACTAAAGTCAGGGCAAAGACTCACACTGAACTCAGGCAGTCCTGGATAATCTGGTTAAACCTGGTAGCACATAGAAAAGGAATTGAAAAGGCTCAGCTCCAAACTCATGTAGGTAGCACACCTCAGTGAGCATCAAATTACTGAAAAAATCTTTGGTTTGGTCTTAGTAAGAGCTGAGCTTTGCAGAGATCTCACCCAGGAGAGTTTGGAAGTAGGACACTTTGTGAGCGTGACCAAATCTGATGGTTCGGGCAGTTTGCCTCTCTATTTCCCATCTCAAAAAACAAAACAAAACAAAACAAAACAAAACAAACAAACAAACAAACAAAAAACCACACTTTTTTTTTTTTCTCTAAAAAGCACTGTCTTTCCCATTTTCCCTGAACTCTGCCAAGACACGGAGGAGTGCCTCTAATGTCTGCCTGCCCCCACACCACAAAAGCCCACCACTGAGGCACAGAGCAAATGGCTCTGTGAAGGGGTTGTTATTTCTGGGGACTCTGTGTGGCTGCTGATCAGCCAAGCAGAGCAGAAAAGGCTCCCGAGGCTGCTCTGAGCTTCCTCCCCCCAGCAGCTCTCCAGGAGCAAGGATTTCCTACAGTGTGAAACAGGATCAGCCGCAGCCCGGGAGACTGGCGTGGGGGAGGGAGATGTTTTTCCTCTCCCTGCCATTTCTTCCACCGCATGAAAGAGGTGCTGAGGCTCTTTCAAGCTGAATCCTCCTCCACCCCCTCCTTTACCCGGCTCTGATCCCAAACTGAGACCCCGGAGACGCTGCCAAATAAAGAACTCTCCCATGGTTGAGAGTCTGAAGCCAATTAGAACCCCCCTCCACGGCCGTGCCAGGGCTGTTCCAGTGCCAGGGAGACCCGGACAAGATGAGTGCTGCTCTCTCAGGGCATCGCCTCATTCTCCCAGGCAGACCCCACCACCCTTCTGGGCACTCACTGCCCACGGAGCCAGGCTTTGCAGCTTTCCTGAGGCACTGCAGCAGGGCTGTTGGGATTTTAATTCATATTTTCGGTCGAGTGCAAGGGATGCTTGTGTTTTTTACGCTGTGTAAAGCCCCTGTGGGCTGGGGGAAGGGAGGCTCATGCAGTGTTCTCAGTTGTGGTTAGGAAGGGAAGGAAAAGTCTAAAGCAAGAAGCAAATAGCATGTTTGCTGAAATGTCTGTGCACACACACGGATGCCAGCCTTGCCGTGAAGCAGCAGGGACAGCCCCCTCAAGCGAACAAATCCCTGACTGAGGTGACAAGTGCCCTAAAGGCACAGTGGGATCCCGTTCTGCTCTCAGAAAGGTTTTCTCTGTTCACAGTCTCCCATTCCAGAGCTGCCCGGGGCTTGCCTGGCTCCCAGGAGCTGCAGAGAGCTCTCAGGCAGCGAGACAACTGCCCTGCAGTGCACAAGTGTATTCATAAAGCGTGTCCTCAAAGGTCACTTTGGATCATTAAACCACAGAGCACAGTGGAGCCCTTTAACAACAGCAGCAGCCTGTCTGGTACAGTGTCTTGGGTCTGGCCATGATGTGTGTTGGATGGTTGAGAGGAGGAGGCAGTAAATCTATGGATTTACTTGCTCCTGGTACCATCTCTGTGTTGCTCAATCTTTAATTGAAGCATCCTCCCCTCAGTGGCAGGGTGTGACACCCTGGTGTACTCTGGCATAGCACTGTTCTTTTTTTAGGAGAAGGGGTCCTAAAGAGGGCACAGAGAGGATTAGTGACTTGCCCAAGATTATGCTGAGGGTCAGTGGTGGTTAGGAGGTCAACAATTTTGAGTGTTTTACTTCACATACTGCTCAGGAAACTCAACCTAACCTGGCCTGTGCATTTATCACCTGGCAGAGCTGCTGCACAGGGCAGGATTGGGTCTTGCAGTTGGTGACTCTAGAAGTAGACACATAAATTTTTTCAGGTTAAGTCCTGGCTTTTCCCTTCACCAGTCCCCTGTCTCATCCACAGCTTTCTATTTATCATCCCCTCCACAGGAGATCAGGCCCTGCAGCTCACACAGCCCTGGAAGCTGCATAACCTGTCTTCATTCAGCTCTTTGGACAAATATCTCCCCTTTTTAACAGGCTTTTTCTTTATCTCTTGCAGAACTTTGCCAAAGAATTTGTGATCAGTGACCACAAAGAGCTGGATGAGGATTACATCAAGAATGAGCTGAAGAAAGCAGGGGGGGCTAATTATGATGCACAGACTGAGTAAACACGTGAACCTCCTGGCACCATCACCTGGATCTCAAAAGGGAGGGGAAAGGCACAACAAACTAACACAACTGAGAGATGAGGCAACTGAAATCCCCAGCTTTCTGTGGCTGCACCTAAGAACTCCCTTTTTTGCATACAGTGGACTTTTATTTTCCATTCCGTCTCGTTAAACATCCCTCTCTGGGGTTCTGTTTTTCTTTTTTTCGCACTTTTTTTACTCATAACTCTGTCCATGTTCTTGCATCTGTGGAATTTAGGTTCTGCTTTGGTCCTATTCAGCACTGTGTTTGTAGAGGCTTGCCACTGTGTCCTTCTTCATGTCTGTGGGTTTTAATTGGGCTCAACCTGGTCTCTGAGGGAAGAAAGTTTTGGGGGAGTTCTGAACATCAGTGATTTTAATTTTTAAAAAAATTTGTTCTGACTGATATTCTTGGGAATAATATTTTTTTTTGCTGTTCTAGGCTCAGATCAGCTTGAGTTGACTTCCCTCAAACTTTGATTAAATCATCTAAGCTTGAATGTCCAGCTGAGACATCTAACAGCTTAAACAACAAAGTGAACAAACATACAAATTCTTTGACTCCTAATAATGGGAATAAATTTGCCTTAAACACTGCTTGACAGTTGCTATGCTATGTGCTGCATCTCTATCCCTCCCTCTTAAAAATAAGATCCACCATGATCCGAAAGTGAGGGGTTTGTTGCTTTTTTTTGGAGGTATCATGGCACAGTAAACTGAGGGGCTTAGAAATGTCTGGACACTTGGTCACTATTTTGTGTACGTTGGTCTCTGGGTTTGTATTTGACTTTCCTAATGCTGGGGCTCAGGAGGTGAAACTGGAATACATAGATTTCCTTTTTTAAATGATGTCTGCAAAAATAGCAGCAGCTGAATCCTTCTCTGCCCATGTCCCCCCTGGTTATTTTACAGTTTAACACAACATCCTCGGTTATTTGGGGCCTTTGGCAGTGAACCATCCTGCAGCTGGGACCAAAGGATGGAGCAGGGCAGCTCCATCCCAGTCAGGATGAAACATTCAACATCAGAGGCCCAGAGAGAACCTGGGCACAGTCTGGTACCAAACTGTTTGTTTGGGGGCTTCTTTGTATGGCTTTTTTTCTTTTTTCTTCCATCAAAGGTGACTGTCCCCAGAATTATGTGTTGGGAGAAACTGTGGGGCTTGGGAGTCAGTGCTTATAAACCCATTCCAGAAATAAATGTTTTTCAAGAACACTTCTCAGTGACTCTGTTGTTCTTTCACCTTCCCCGCAACAACAAGCCTATATTTAGGAGGTCTCTTAATCCTTGTTGTAAAGCTTTGAGCTCCTGCAATCTTGGGGCTATTAGGAGAATTAAACACTGGCTTAAATGTAAAATGATCCTGGTGCCTGCAGCCCTTGTCTGCTCATCTGCCCTCCCAGAGGCACAGGTGGTGACCACAGTGCATCTGACACACTTTTCGCTCAGCAGATCTGCATCTAAATTTCCAGCGCCAAAATGCCAAGTGGGAATTGTAATTAGGTCAAAGAGAATTTCACACCCGGAGAAAATAAATGTAGAGAGGTCAGGAACAGATTTGGGAGCAAGAATGACGCTTTCAGGCTGAGGTTTTGCAGCTTCCTGTGTAGGGTTACGTGAGGCATTACAGTTCTGGACTGAACTTAACAAAACTTGCCCTGAAAGAAGGGAAATGGTTATTTTTTTACAGTACTGACAGTAGGGAGAGACATAACTAATGGGAAGGAGCCTTGCAGAGAGCTTGTGATGTTCTGAGGCTTTGCCTTGGTGGTTCAGTGTAACTTTTATTTGACAGCTTGTGGCACAGAGACAACAATCTCAGCCTGGCCATGGAGCCTGGCAGCGCTACTGCAAGAAATTCATCGGCACCAGCTCTGGTGGGGCCTCAAGAAAGAGCTCAGCACAGAGGCAAAACAGCTTTCTCAGCCCTCAGAGCCATCTCAGCAAGACAACTGAAGCACTTGTGCTGCCTTTGGCCAGCTGGCTCCAGGGATGGAGGGAGCAAAGCCATCACCCTGGCCTCTCTGGTTGCTTTGCTATCCTTAGTCAGTTCTTACAACATGGAAGATCTCATATTCCCTCTTTGAACTGCCTCTACTGGGCACGTGGGGTCCCAGTTTGGCTACAGGAATATCGAGCTTGCAGTCACTAGTGCAGCAATTGCATGAACAGTGTTAGATACACATGAGAAAAATGAGGAAGAGAAGGAATTACTGGTTTGTGATAAGACATCAGGATAAATCCTTATGGGGAAAAAGTAGCCTAATGAATGATAGCAATAAGAGAGAATCAGTGGGGTGGTTTTTTTTCCAGCCTCAGTTTTATCTCCTCAGACAGGCTACCTAGTGATACCATCCTGCTGATGACATGAAGAACTTCCTGGGGAGAAAGGGGGATGAGCTGTACAAGAGCACTGCTGCTGGTGTGTCTCTGGCCTCACTGCAGAGCAGTTGGGTCAGCTCTTGGATACCCACTGGGGAGTTCTTGTTTGCACAGTCCTGTTCCTCTGACAACTCTGCAACAGCCAAGTTAATCAAGCCCATGCTTGTCGAACCCTCAGTCAAATAAAAGATTATCTTCATCACAAAGAATGTTCTGGAAACACACTCAGCCCCAAGCCCAGCCCAAGCTGATGAATGCACATCCCAGGGGGCTGCCTAGGAGTGTTTGGGGCAATATGTGCTACAAGAATTCAGTGCTTCCCTCCCTCTGTACTCCTCATTCTGGAGATTACTGGAGGAGGAATCTGAATTAGCCATAAAACGGCTTTGTTTGTAAGATGTTGGTTACAGTTCAGCATTACTGAATGGTCTTAATTTCCTTCGAGAGAGGGACTTTACTGATGTTATGTCAAACCCTTATGTCTGTGATAGGAGCAGCTCAGCTAGTCCATGGACTCCACAAGCCTGGTGTAAGTGCAGCTAAAACTCATCTCTGGGCTCTGCTCCCACTCAGCTGGAAAAGTATTTACCCCACAGTGTTTGCAGGAATTCTCCTCCCGTGCTAATAATCAAGAATGCAAGAAAAAAAAGACAAAAAATGAGCAGAAGATGGACTGGGACAAGAAGAGTAAAAGCATAAGACCAACTATTTGTGGGGCATTTGGGATCTCACACTTGGCATATCTCAACACCACAACACAGACTGGAAGTGGTCTCTGGCAGAGGTACCAGGGACTCTGCTATGGGCTGTGTTTTGCACCCAGAGTGGTGGAGACAAAGAAGGAATTAAGAATACCTATCATTGCTGTGACACTGCTGATCAAGAGCTCCCAGAGTGTTTCAGGAAGATTGGAATTATAGAATCATTAGGGTTGGAAAACACCTCCAAGAGCATCAAGTCCAACCGTTGTCTGAACACCACTTTGTTATCACATCCCAGGGATGGTGAGTCCACCACTTCCCTGGGCAGCCCCTGCAATGCTTCACAACCCTTCCAGTGAAGAAATGCTTCCTGAAAATTGCATTAGTATAAACCAGACCACACTGTTGTTCCTGGAGCACAATACCCTTGCTAAGGACAGGGCCTTTCATGGTGGAATTGGAGCAGAAACAGCAGCCCATGTGTTCCAGGGCCTCACAGCCCTGCTGTGCATTCCTCACCTTATCACAGCCCCGCTGATAACACTCCATCCCAGGATTTATGCTAATGACCATAGGAGACATGCATTTCCTTTCTCATTTTAAATGTATTTTTTATACAATCAGGTGCCCCTGATAGCTGTCCATTTGGTGTTTTAAACCTGCCTTTGCCTCAGCAGCCCTCTCCTCAGGCTCTGCAGACCTGCTGCTGCTCAGAGGCTCGTGGGCTGCGCTACAGGCGCCTGCGGTTCCCTCGAGTCGCGGCTCAGTGGCTGCTTTATATTTGGCATTGCCAGAGGATTTTCTGTCCCTCCCCATCACGAGTGCGTGAGGCAGAATCCACTTTTAGCAGGGACGGAGCGAAAGAGCCGGGAGAAATATCCTCCAAAACCTTCTTGATTAACACAATCGCGCAGCAGACGAGTTCATTTCAGGCGGCCCCGACCGGGGGACTTCTCAGCAGTGCAGGCAGATGGTGGGAAGGGAGGGAGTGAATGGGTGACCCCCCTCCAGACACATTTAGGAGGCCGGGGAGGGAAGGACGCGGTACCCAGGGGCGAAGTCGTGCTTTGAGCGTGGAGAGAGCCAGGCTGCTGTGAGTCAGAGCGGCCTGCAACGCGTGAGCAGCAAATTCTCCCTCCGAGGAGTAAGCGGGGCTTTGGAGAATAGAAAATAGCTGAGCCAGGCGACGCCACCAGCATGACCAGCCCCTGGAAACGCCGTGGGCTCTGCCCGGGTTTTTATAGCGGCTGGCCCGGGGAGGGTGTAATGCCAGAGTCTGTAATGCCAGATTACCCTGGCAATAAGCAGGTGCTGCTGTGAGCACCCCCGGGGTGATCTAATCCCTCCAGCCGGAGCCGTTGCAGTTATTTAGCAACAAGGCACCGGAGGAGAGGGGTGCACAGAGAGGCAGAGGGGAGACACGGGGTGTTTTGTGTGTTAGGGGTACGAGAGCAGCTCAGATCGGTGCTGCAGCACAAACACGGGCATTGTTCGAGCTGTAAACTCAGCTCCAGGCCTGATGAGCTCGTTTGCTTTCCCTGTTCCCGGCGGATGCTCTTCCGCCCAGGGCCGGCTCTGCATCTCCTGCAGGCTGGGGCAGCTCGGCTGGGGCTGAGAGCAGGAAGCGGGGGGCTCCCACAGGCTTCCCCAGACTGCAACCATGAGCTTGTGGAACATCTCTCTCCTTAAGCTCTAAGTTGGACTTCCTCCAGCCACAGATCTCACACTTTTGGGACCTCTCTGGTCTGCTGTGGTGGTGATGTGTTCGTGCAGCCCTAACCTGCCCAGAGAAGCTGTGGATGGCCCATCCCTGCAAGTGTTCAAGGCCAGGTTGGTTGGGGCTCGGAGCAATCTGGTTAGTGGAAGGTGTCTCTGCCCATGGGTGAGCTTTAAGGTTCCTTCCAACCCCAACCAGCCTGCGATTCTGAGATCTCAGGTTTGGTTTTATGGCCAAGTGAGTCAAAACACCAGAGGTGTTTTAATTGCGGCCTGAAAGATTCTGTGTTGCTTGGTGGGAATGGGGGCAATAAATTACATGCACAGCCTTAATCCCTGGAGTGGTACAGCCTTTCCTAGTGTGACTTGCACCTATGCTGCCAATCCATCTGCCAAAAACATGGGACTTAAGCTTTCAAAGACATCTGTTTCTGGGCTGGAGTAGCTCAGCTTTGCTTTTCTTACAATGACTGGTTGATTTGTGTAAGTTTATCTGGGCTGGGAAACCAAGAGAAACCTTCCCAGATATTTCATCTTTCTCCCTCCCTCCCCCATCCAAATGTCCAATAAAGTTTTTCATTAACCTTAAGACATCTTCGGAACGAGAGTGCATTTCCATGTAAATGCAGCTGAAGGGAACAAACAGCATCTGCTCTGCAAATATTAAATGCGGGCAGTCGATGAATAGACTTATCTCCTTTATCATGATTAGCCACATTTCTGCCTTGTAATTTTGGCCTATCACTCAACAGAAACTGTAATCAGGATGTAATACATCCTATTGGTAAATTACAGCCATGCAGCTGTTGGAGGCAGCAGCTGAGCCCTTCAGCAATTTAAACCAGGTTTTATTACACCCAGGGCGAGGTTCCAATAAGTATATTTGTGTGACACGATTTCAAAATAATAAGAGTTGAATCTTGTCCCACCAAAGTTAATTCTGACGTCGGTTTTCATGGGAAGAAGTGTTTTGCCAGAATCAGAAATCAAACAGGTCTCAGGGGTGTCCTCAGAGGAGTCAGACTGCGAGAGCAGAGGAGCTGTGGTGAGATCACCCCTGAGCAAGGTGTGAATGCTGCCTTGGCACAGGGATTTCTGGGTCACTACACGCCAAGAAAAGTTTCATGTGAGGGAACTTTTGTGAAATCTTACTACAGGATACAGGGCTCAGAATGACACAGAGTGGGCTGGGAATATCCATCTCTATTCCATCTCCAATGTAACAACAGTGGGTGTGTTATCATAACAAAGAGCATTAAAATGTACTTTACTTAAGATTTCAATGCCTCAGTTTTGCCGAGTTCCAAATCAAAATGAAACTAAAAGCTGTTACAATTGTTGAGAGCAAAAATCCTGCAAAACTCCCTAAAGTTTTATAGTAAAACTACTAGCATTTTTTTTCAGAAAAAGAGCCAT